GAACCACTTTAGACAAATCATAAAGGAACGAGAGGTACAGGCCACTATGGACAGATATGTTGTGCGAAAGAAGTCCAGTGACTCTGAAGCTGGTCCTAGTGGCATTAAAAGAAGAAGGGAAGTAACCCCAGAAAAGGACTTGCTACCTCAAGTCCTAATGGAAGGGGATTCCCCTTCTAAACACTAACACTCTCTCTCCCCTCCTCCCATCCCATCAATCATCACCAGATCTTCAATAAAAGTAAGTGTCATGTAATTGTGCATGCCTTTTTCAGTTTGTGTGTACTAAAATTAACATTTTTTTGTGGTAAAAAAATTTTTTTTTCATACTTTTGGGTGTCTTGCACGGATTAATTTTATTTCCATTATTTCTTATGGGGAAAATTCATTCGCATAGCGAACATTTCGCATAACAGCCAGCCCTCTTGCACGGATTAAGGTCCCTATGCGGGGGTCCACTGTATACGTCTTACAAGCCAGTGTTTCGGATATATATATCCTCAATAATTCTAGTGGCTTCAAATCAAGCAGGAGAAAGCTGGTAGGCCCACATGTGAGAGAATGGATCTGTGTGGTCAGTGTGCACCAAATAAAAAAAATCCTGCAGCACGCAGTGCATAATGAGAAAAAAACCTGACCGTTTTTTTCGATTAAAACGCCGAATTTGAGGTGTATTTTTGTATAGTAGTTATCATTGTATTCTCGTTTTCATGGTCTCACGTGATGAAATGGAAAACATATTGCAGAAATAGAGATGATTTTGATTAGTTTCACGATGAAAACGACCTTGAAATTGAGCTCAAAGTAGTAGAAATGTTCGACTTTTACCAATGTTCAAGAGTAAGCAAATCACACCACACGTCCAATACACGTCAACTGGGGAGTCTAATATTCTTTCACTAGTGCAATGATATTATTTATACCATTTTTACAATAATGCAGTAGTCTGCATAACAGTAAATTTTGTATTTTTTGTATGAATAAAAAATCAAAATAGAAAGCAATAGTAATATAAGAGGGGCCTAGAGATGTGACTAATGAACAGAGGATATGTTATTTTAGTGCCAAGAATGTCTACATTGTTTATTCTGGACCCTATTTTGAAATTGGCATCTTTTTTAATTTGTGTGAAATTGGCCAAATTGCCAATTTCTGACCACTTTATTGAGTAGTTCAAATCGTTCAATGGACCGTTTCTTGTACTCAATTGAAGGAAAAATGGAGTTCAAAAAAAACAACTATGAGTCTGGTCAACTGGAACAACGGAATTGGCCAAAAACAGGGCTCAAAGTCTGCAAAATTGCCGATGCATATATGTAGCTGAGACCGCTAACTTCATGGGAGCGCAACTCCGTGAGTTTTCGACCAAATTTTGTACTTTTGGTGTCATTACCATTGGGAAAAGATTCTCTATCATTTCATAAGAAAAAATAATTTTTTTTTTCCAAAAATTTTGCAACATAGAATGACAGTTTCAGAAAGGTGTTTGCAACAGTCAAAGGGTTGACCCGTAAACGGTCCAAACATATACGTATGTACATTTTATTTGTCATACATTCAACATTGCCACGATAAGCCTGAGTCACCTAGACATGACAGAATGGGTGTGCACACTCACTGTGCACCATATTAAAATAATTGGGGATGCCTGGGTACCATATGCTCTTTTTTCCTATTAAAAAAAAACGATTTTTTTTCCTCAAAAAATCTGGGGCACTACGAGAGAGAACACATATATACGCTTGGATCGTTTACGGGTTAAATAAGAACATAAGAATGGAGGAACACCGCAGGTGGTCTACTGGCCCATACAAGGCAGGTCCTAAAAATGTTTATATATACATGTTATTAGTGCTTTATATTTATTTGTCATTCTTTTCTGTATGTAAATCTATATTTAATCTCTAAATAAATTATTTTTTGTTAATATTTTTGTGTCTGGAACGGATTAATTGGATTTACATTATTTCTTAAGGGGAATATGGTTTTGTTTTCATGAATTTCAACATTCGGCAGACTCTCTGGAACGAATTAATCACAAAATTAGAGGGTCCACTGTACAGTGGTCCCTTGTTTATCGTCATTACTCAGTTCCTGGAAGTGCGACGATTATCAAAATACACGATTTTTAAATCAATTTTCCTGTAAGCAATAATGTAAATACAATTAATCCGTTCCTGACACCCAGAAGTATTAAAACAAAAAAAATTTTTACATGAAATATAGATGTAGTACATAAACAATACAATGGGACTTGATGAATGAAACATTAACAGCATAACACTTACCTCTATTGGCAATTCTTCTTAGTGTATGGAAGACTGGAGGAGGAGAGAGATTGGATTAGTTACTGTTTGGAAGGGGAATCCCCTTCCATCAACACCTCAGGTACCAAGTCCTTTCCTGGGGTTACACACTTCTCTTCTCTGTTTCTTAATGCCACTAGGACCAGCTTGAGAGTCACTGGAGTCCTGTCTCGCAAAAAAAGTGTCCAAAGAGCTCTGTTTCTGGTGTCTCTGTAAAACTTCCCTAAAATGGGCCAAGACTCTGTCACTGTACAAGCTGCCGATATGGCTTGCAACATCCTTCTCAGGGTGATTTTTTTGTTTTTCAACAAGTCAGCCGTCTCCCACCGAGGCAGGGTGACCCAAAAAGAAAATACTTTCATCATCATTCAACACTTTCACCTCACTCACACATAATCACTGTTTCTGCAGAGGTGCCCAGAACACAACAGTTTAGAAGCATATACATATAAACATACACAACATATTCCTCCAAACTGCCAGTATCCTGAAACCCCTCCTTTAGAGTGCAGGCATTGTACTTCCCAATTCCAGAACTCAAGTCCGGCTATATAAAGTAACCGGTTTCCCTGAATCTCTTCACTAAATATTACCCTGCTCACACTCCAACAGATCGTCAGGTCCCAAATGCCATTCGTCTCCATTCACTCCTATCGAACACGCTCATGCACGCCTGCTGGAAGTCCAAGCCCCTCACCCATAAAACCTCCCTTACCCCTTCCTTCCAATCTTTTCGAGGATGACCCCTACCCCGCCTTCCTTCTCCTACAGATTTAAATGCTCTCCATGTCATTCTACTTTGATCCATTCTCTCTAAATGACCAAACCACCTCAACAACCCCTCTTCAGCCCTCTGACTAATACTTTTATTAACCCCACACCTCCTAATTTCCACACTCCAAATTTTCTGCATAATACAGTGTATTTACACTACACATTGCCCTTAGACAGGACATTTCCACTGCCTCCAACCGCCTCCTCGTTGCTGCATTCACAACCCAAGCTTCACACCCATATAAGAGTGTTGGTACTACTATACTTTCATACATTCCCTTCTTTGCCTCCATAGATAACGTTTTTTGACTCCACATATACCTCAATGCACCACTCACCTTTTTTCCCTCATCAATTCTATGATTAACCTCATCCTTCAAAAACCCATCCGCCGACACGTCAACTCCCAAGTACATAACTGAAAACATTCACTTCTTTCATACTCCTCCTCCCCAATTTGATATCCAATTTTTCTTTAACTAAATCATTTGATACCCTCATCACCTTACTCTTTTCTATGTTCACTTTCAACTTTCTACCTTTACACACACTCCCAAACTCACCCAGGGTGATGTTTCTCCATAAATCTTTCCATCCTACCCCACATTTCAAAAATCTTCTTAATTTCTGAAGAAGGCACCTTCTTCCATCTCTCTTCCTCCTCCTCTGCAGCAAGATTTTGAGCTGCGATCTGTTGCTGCTCCTGCTGAAGCTCTTGTAGCTCTTCAGTGGTTAGCTCTTTGTTGTGGTCCTCCTCCAACTCTTCCACATCCTCCAAACTCACATCCAACCCATGGAACTCCCCAATGCCAAAATAGATTTCACAACTGACATAGGCTCATCAGGGTCAGCCACAAACCCTTCAAAATCCCTCTTGTGGACACAATTTGGCCACAATTTTCTCCAAGCAACAACAGCTTCCTTGATTTCCTTTTTCTTTGCCATGATGGAAGATATGGTTGTATGGGATTTGTTATACATCCTGGCCAGTTCGGCCACACGTATGCCACTTTCATACTGTTCAATGATATTTTTCTCAAATTAAATCGTATTTCTCACCTTCTTTACCAAAGGCTTGGCACTAGGAGCTTTCTTTGGAGCCATGGTAGCTTATTTAGTACTTGCAAGCACTAAAATGAATGGAATATTATGAAATATTTTGTGTGAACAAGTGAGGGGACCGTCGCTCACTGGTAAACAATGGCACACCGGCTGGGAAGGGAGGCCAAGGCGGCTCAGAGCCATGAGTACGCGTCTAGGACGAACGACAATTAGCGAGTCAACCGACCATTTGCGAGCCAATGTTTGGACAAAAATATCGCGACAATTTCCGAAAAGGACGACTATCAAGCCCGGCGATTATCGAGGGACCACTGCATTATGAAGAGAATGCGGAATTTAGAAATTAGGTATGGAATTACCAAAAGTGTTATTCAGAGGGCTGAGGAGTTGTTGAGGTGTTTTTGACATTCAGAAAGGATGCAGAAGAATAGGATGGCTAAGAGGGTGCACAAAAGGAGGGATAGGGGTCATCCTAGGAAAGGTTGGATGAAAGGGGCAAAGGAGGTTTGAGTACTAGGTGCTTGAACACCTAACAGGCTTGTGTGAGCATGGTTTTTTATGATCTGACATAGTGTTGGAGATTGAGCAAGATAACATTCATGAAGGGATTCAGGAAAACTGGACAGCTGGGCTTAAGTCCTAGAAGTGGGAAGTACAGTGCCTGCACTCTGGAGGAGAAGTGGGAATGTTGCAGTTTGGAGGGTCATCTTAACTGTAGTGTTGGAAACCTTGTGGAAGGAGAGTGAGTGAATGAACAATAGTGTTTTTTCTTTATTGGGTCACTGAAGTAACTGTGCTATCCAACTACAAAAATAAAATACAGTCCTAGTTTCAAGAGAAATCTTGCTAAGTACTTACCTGAGTAAATAACACATGATTAATGCACTTGAAGAGTTGCCTGCATCTATCAGCAGACCATTTTGTGTCTTGTAAGACAAGATGAGCAGGAACAAGTGCAGCTGAGAGTGCTGGATGGTCTGGATGAATAACACGTAACTTGTTAAGACATTTCTCTGCCATACCATCAATCTCACTTATCATCTGTAATTGTTAATCCAACAAAACACAATTTAGATAATACAAAATGAACATATCTTCCAAAAATTTTAAATTATTTTAACTAAAACTAAATATATGGGTCTGCTGATGCAGTAATACCAAATTAAATTTAATTATTTAATTTCTCTAATTTCTCGAGAATGATAAAAATCAGAGTGTAAGTAGATGAAGTTACATGTACATTGCATTATGGTGACTCAGGGAGATACTCAAAACCTTCATTACCAACATATCTTGGGATACAGTTTTATGAAGTACAGTGGACCCCCGCATACCGTTGGCATCAAATAACGTTAAATCCGCATACCGATACATTTTATTGCTAAGATTTTGCCTCGCATACCGCTAAAAAACCCGCTCAGCGCTATTCGTCCACGACGCGTCTAATGAGCGGCCTGAGCTAGCCTCACATGTTCCGCGGGTGGCACTGTTTACCAGCCAGCCTCGGCGGTAACATCCAAGCATACAATCGGAACATTTCGGATTATTACAGCGTTTTTGGTGATTTTATCTGCAAAATAAGTGACCACTGGCCAGGTTGTATAGTAAACCCCAATCAACCATCGCTACTATTGTGTCCAAGAAAACGGCAATCAAGGAAGCTGTTCTTGCCAAAGGTTCAACTGTGTTTTCGAAAGAGAGATCGCAAGTGATAGAAGATGTTGAGGGACTCTTACTGGTGTGGATAAATGAAAAACAGATAGCAGGAGATAACATCTCTCAATCGATCATAAGTGAAAAGGCTAGGAAGTTGCATGACGATTTAATTAGAAAAATGCCTGCAACTAGTGATGATGTGAGTGAATTTAAGGCCAGCAAAGGTTGGTTTGAGAGATTTAAGAAGCGTAGTGGCATACATAGTGTGATAAGGCATGGTGAGGCTGCCAGTTCGGACCACAAAGCAGCTGAAAAATATGTGCAGGAATTCAAGGAGTACATAGACAGTGAAGAACTGAAACCTGAACAAGTGTTTAATTGTGACGAAACAGGCCTGTTTTGGAAGAAAATGCCAAGCAGGACCTACATTACTCAGGAGGAAAAGGCACTCCCAGGACATAAGCCTATGAAAGACAGGCTTACTCTTCTCATGTGTGCCAATACTAGTGGTGATTGCAAAGTGAAGCCTTTATTAGTGTATCACTCTGAAACTCCCAGAGCGTTCAGGCAAAAGAATATCCTCAAGGCTAATTTGTGTGTGCTGTGGAGGGCAAACAGTAAGGCATGGGTCACTAGGGACTTTTTCTATGACTGGTTACACCAAGCATTTGCCCCCAATGTGAAAAATTACCTAACTGAAAAGAAATTAGACCTTAAGTGCCTCCTGGTGTTAGACAATGCCCCTGGTCATCCTACAGACTTGGCAGAGCGATTTTGTGGGGACATGAGCTTCATTAAGGTGAAGTTTTTGCCTCCTAATACCACTCATCTCCTGCAGCCCATGGACCAGCAGGTTATTGCAAACTTCAAAAAACTGTACACAAAAGTTCTGTTTGAAAGGTGCTTTGTAGTGACCTCAGAAACTCAATTGACTCAAAGAGAGTTTTGGAGAGAGCACTTTAATATCCTCAATTGTGTAAACCTTATAGGTAAGGCTTGGGAGGGAGTGACTAAGAGGACCTTGAACTCTGCTTGGAAGAAACTGTGGCCAGAATGTGTAGACCAAAGGGATTTTGAAGGGTTTAAGGCTAACCCTGGGAATCCTATGCCAGTTGAGGAATCCATTGTGGCATTGGGAAAGTCCTTGGGGTTGGAGGTTACTGGGGATGATGTGGAAGAGCTGGTGGAGGAGGACAATGAAGAACTAACCACTGATGAGCTGCAAGATCATCTTCATCAGCATGAGGCCAGACCTGAGGAAACTGCTTCGGAGGAGGGGAGAGAGAAATTGAAGAAGTTGCCTACTTCAAAGATTAAGAAAATCTGTGCAATGTGGCTTAAAGTGCAAACCTTCATGGATGAAAATCACCCTCAGACAGCTGTTGCAAGCTATGCTGGTGACTATTACACTGACAATGTTGTGAACCACTTTAGGAAAGTCATAAAGGAATGAGAGGTACAGACCTCTATGGACAGATATGTTGTGCGACAGAAGTCTAGTGACTCTGAAGCTGGTCCTAGTGGCATTAAAAGAAGAAGGGAAGTAACCCCGGAAAAGGACTTGACACCTCAAGTCTTAATGGAAGGGGATTCCCCTTCTAAACACTAAGACTCTCTCCTCCTCCCATCCCATCAATCATCACCAGATCTTCAATAAAGGTAAGTGTCATGTAACTGTGCATGTCTTCTTCAGTTTGTGTGTATTAAAATTAATATTTCATGTGGTAAAAAAAAATTTTTTCATACTTTTGGGTGTCAGGAATGGATTAATTTGATTTCCATTATTTCTTATGGAGAAAATTCATTCGCATAACGATAATTTCACATAACATTGAGCTCTCAGGAACGGATTAATATCGTTATGCGGAGGTCCACTGTATTCTTAAGTTACAAATGCCTCCCCCCCCCACCCTCTCTTTTTCTATCTTCTAGGTTTCCCTTCTTCCATGCTTCCTTTATATCAACCATATACAGTAACACTAGCCCTCTCACTGTCCTCCAGGTAGATATACATTAATGATGCCAGGGTCACTCACACAGACCTGTATTTTAAGTACAGCTCCCTCAAATATGCTGTGAGCAGCAAATTTTGAACCAGACGTAAGTTAATGGGTTTGTGAAGTGAGTGTGCACAGAATAAAATTAATCCTGCCTCATGCAGTGCATTTTTGTGAAAAGCAAACCACTGACCTTGTGTTTGGTTTAAATAGAATTTTTGAGATATTCTAAGGTAGTGTTTATGGCTGTTTTATATTAATAATAATAATAGTTTATTAAGACATGATACATAGTTGTACAAGGTAATATAGTAGTTGGGTGTACATGTCAAAAGCCCCTTGTATGCAGAGAATTATGGGCAGGCTGTTACGTTGGTATTCCAGAGTAACTGTTACTTATAAATACATGTTGGGTCCTATAGCCCCATAACACAGGCTTAAAATTAACTAAAGATTAATGAAACAGTTATAGTAAACAATTTACAATATCAAGTACAATTGAGTATTTTAATGGTAACATACTGATACCTATTAGTAAGGTAGGATTTGAAATATCCAAGTGCATGGCCTCTTATACAATAATGGTCAAGTTTGTGGAGTAGGATGCCATGTCAAAAGCTTTTCTTAGGTCAATAAAAAGTCCTAGAGGATATTCCTTATTATCCAATGCTGTGTAAAGCAGATCTAGCATTTTTACAATTGCATCATTAGTGCTTTTATTTTTTCTGAAGCCAAATTGGCAGGGGTTGAGTATGCTTTGTGCTGTTATAAATGAATATAGTCTCCTGTGCACGAGTTTCTCGAAGATTTTGGATAGCAATGGTAAGTCTGATATTAGCCTATAGTTGTTTACATCTGTAGGGTCACTAACTTTATGTACTGGTGTAACCCTTGCTGTCTTGAGTAGTGTCGGGAAAGTGCTAGTTTCTAGTGACTTGTTAAAAAGTTATGTAATAGCATGTGAAAGGACATGGGCCGCTCACTTGTACAATAATGGAGGGATATGAGACAGATTCCCTGAGTTATTTCCAAGTGACTTTATAATTGTGGTGACTTGCGTGGGCTTAGCTGGTACAAGATAGAAAAATTTGGGAAATTACCATCTAGGTAGTCACTGGCACAGGCGTTGGTATATGGGATTTTACTGGCAAGATTAGATCCCTTGATTGAGAGGAAGTCGTTTATCTTGTTAACTGTATCATTGCGATGCAGTGGTATTTCATTAGGTTTAGCTAGGACAACATTCTTGTTTTTTTTCAGTTTGTGGGTGCCCAGAATCTGGGAGAGTGTTTTCCAGGTCGTTTTTACATCTCCTCTTGTTTCAGTGAATCTGCTTGAGTAGTACAATTGTTTGGCTTTTTTTATTAGTGTGGTGAGAACTAATGAATAGTGTTTAAGAATATCTTTGTGCATTACGCCTTGTCTATATTGCTTTTCATATTGGTGTTTCTTATCAATGGATTTCAGAATGCTGTTGGTTAGCCATGGGCAACCTAGCCGTTTATTCATGATCTGTTTCATTTTTATAGGACAATGTTTGTTGTATAGTCTAAGTAATTTGTTAAGAAAAATGTCTGGCCTTGGAGAATTCTGTAGGCCAGTCAACAGTCTCTAGGTCTGCTGAGAAATTACTTACTGAGGCCTCGTCATGGAGTCTAAATGAAGCTTTGTTGTATTCCAGTGGTGGTTTACTAATGTTTGTTAAGAGGAAGGTAGGGTAGTGGTCAGTAGTGCTGTCTGTGATTATCCCTGACTTAAGGGGGGCTAGTATATTGGTCCATATGTGGTCAATTATGGTTGCACTCGTCTCAGTCAGCCTGGTTGGTTTAGTTATTGTCAGTATGAGAAGTGTGTTGTTCATGTTGTTGATAAAATCAGTTACAGGCTGATCATCTGGTAGGCCAAGGTTGATACTTAAGTCTCCAGCTAAGAGAAGGTGGTCCTTGTTCATTTGTCTGTTTGTTATTAGTGCCTTTAATTTCTCACTGAAATTTGGGATGTTTGTGTGGGGTATCCGGTAAATGGCACTGACTGTTATAGGCGTCTTAAGGTTTTTTACAGTAAAATTTGCAAAAATGTATTCTCCCTATTCATCACTAAAGCAAGTGGTGCTAATACAAGATACGTAGTTGGTTAGAGTAATAGATTGCAATACCACCCCCAACTTGGTATGGTCTGCAGTTGTGGATTGCTGTGTATCCTGGTAGTGGGTAGATATTTATTGTGTCCTGCTTAAACCAGGTCTCAGTGAGAATAATGCATTAGAGTGTCTGTAGTGACTCAAGGAGTGCCAGGAGGTCATCACAGTGTTTGCTTAACCCCTTCAGGGTCCAAGGCTAAATCTGAAGTGGTGCTCCAGTGTCCAAGAAATTTTGAAAAAAAAAAAAA